CACTTGGCCTTGTTGAATTTCATGAGGCTTGTACAGGCCCACTTCTGCAGCCTGTCCAGGTCCCTCTCAATGGCAACCCTTCCCTCCAGCGTGTCGACCGCACCACACAGTTTGGTGTCATCAGCAACTTGCTGAGGGTGCACTCCATCCCACTGATGTAGCAGTCCCCTCTTGTTGCTCGCCTTTGTCACGCGCAGTGTGTGAAATATCTCGCGGGTAAGCAGTGACCCAAAGAGCCCTTGGCAGCCACTGAGCTGTTCAGTTTGGCTCTGGAAATATTGAGTTGGATCTGATGTACAAAGAACCTGTGAGCAGAGTTACATGACCATAAACTTGGTATGAGAGGAGACTGAGGAAAACAAAACAGATGACAAAGGCACAATTTGCTTGCTGTTAATGATGCCTCTGTAACATCACAGGCTATCTCTAAGCTACATTTTCCACTGCATTGCTGGCTTGCAAAACTTTTAATGGAACAAGTTTTTCTGGCAGAAGAACACTGATTTTTATCTTTAATGAGCAGCCTCTCTATCATTTACCTTCAGGAGACAGCTTCCTAGTTGTAAACTGCTTGAGAGCACTGACAGCCAGTCAACTTCGAAAGCAGCCAGGAGAAACTTTCTTGCTAACTTTGGGAAGGAATTCAGAAATGCTGCAAGGTGCAGATGATATTGTTATGGAGCAGGAAGACTCTGCTTCCCGACATGGAGAAAGGACAAGTTGGGACATCAATGACATCAAACTTCCCCAGGTATGTGTCTGTGTCTTAGAATTTATTCAGTTCTGACCAGTCGTCTTCGCTTCACCACTGATCTTGAATGCTTTCTCAGTCATTTATGCCTCAATGTCTTTTGCCACCTTAAGGTATGGGACAGTGTTTTACTGAAAAGCTATAAAATATTGAGCAAATATTGAACTTTCCATGCATTTTTCCTTAAACCTATTATTGAAAGAGCTGCTGATACATGAAAAATAGCAGTGCTGCAGATGCTTTGCCTTTCTAGTCCACTGGTAGATGAGCTGCAGAGAAATCAGGGAAAAAAAATTATCCCTTGCTGTGGGTGCTCAATTAGAGGTGTCCAGGACTTGCTTTTTGCTGTGGGTAGTGCTTTATGGGAAGCGAGCACAGCACTCATGACTGCTCTGTGTGCTCGGCCTTGCTACAGGTCGGGCTTCAGGCAGCGGGCTGGCTTTCCACACAAAGGGGACGCTCCTTTCATGAACACCTAGCAAAAAGCTTGCTTCATGTCTGCAGAGATTTTCTGAGAGGCAGAATAGTGATACCTCAGTCCTTTTCTAGTCCTCTTACCTAAAAATTTCAACCGTGCTTTCCACTGAAAGCCCCCAGCACCCTGCACACCAGGGTCATCTCCCTGCCCTTCACCTCAGCGTGTTTGTGCCGGATTCCTCCTGCGGCGGTCCTACAGCGTCCAGCTCTGCCTTTCACCTCCCAACCCCATCTTCTTACCTGATCCCAGTCTCTTCCCTACTATGCCACTGCTGTTCGCCCAAACCCTCCATGTCCCAGGCTGTCTCCTTCCCTGCCCTCCACCCCAAGGTCACCTTCACCTGCATTGTGGCCTGGAGGCTTCCTCCACGCACTTCCCTACCCTGTCCCATGGCTCCTGGGGGAGCACAGGAGTTTTTCTCTTCTCAGTTGAGGTTCTTGCTGCTGTAATGGCTCTCAGTGGCTGGGATCAGCAGTTTCAAGGAAATTCCTGCTAAGTTTTTG